CTCTTTTTTTTGTAATTAAATTACGTAACGTCGTTACATGTAATTCGTTACTCCCCAACACTGTTTATAAGTTAGCCGTAAACTCATCACAATGTTCTTTTGGCCTTTTTCTTCTGTGTCCTCTCAGTCTTCATCTTGCTTTTTCTTTTGGTCACTAAATTTTCTTGTCAAACTTCTTGGGCTTTTTCACAGAGCAACTTCATTTATAGTTAGATTGAAATACACACAGGTAGAGTCTATATATGGGGTATGTAACACCTGAAGGCACTCGGACGGATTTGAAAAGGGGGTTTTCTTTTTAAAAGGAGCTTGTCTCACATTTCAGATTTTCTTTTATGAAATGTTTTAAAAGGCGTGTATCATTTGCCTTTCTCTTCACAATTGTCTGCTTTATCTGATACAATCTCAGTAAACTACACTAAACTCTGCTGTTTTGTACAAACTGTGGGAAAATAAGGGTGTGAATACTTTTGTTAAGCATCATATGCCGCCATTGTCCCATACCTGTTAAAGTTCAATCGCTCCATTTTCTAGGACTGGAGGATCTATTTTGTACATTTGAATTAATTTGAACTATTTTCATAACTTGAAAGTTTATTTTTTAGACATTCATTTATCATTATAGGATTGTTGTGTTCGTTGCTTTTTATATGGAGGACCAACTCTGCCATATTTAAAAATAAATACAGAAATAAATAAATGCTCAATAAATATATAAGCATACAATTAATTGCCAACAAAAATACAATAAACAAATAAATGTAAGTAGAAATTAAATATATAATTTAATTTCTACTTAAAAAATGTAAAAGGAGAAGGCAGAAATGTAATAAAATATATAAAGGACAAAAAAATAAATAAGGTAAATATTACAAAGGCAAATAAATAAAGAAGCTAATTGAAAGAGTTATATACATTTATGTCTCACTGTATGATTTAATTTCTACTTACATTTATTTGTTTATTGTATTTTTGTTGGCAGTTAATTGTATGCTTATATATTTATTGAGCATTTATTTATTTATGTATTTATTTTTAAATATGGCAGAGTTGGTCCTCCATATTTTCACCCGTTAAACTACAAATTAATTGCACCGTTTTTTAACTATCTCCTTTATGAAATACACAAACCAACAGACAACATGGTTCTGCTGTAGGTTTATTCTTTAATTCTCGAAAAATATGTTCTGTTCTATGGGAGAGGATTAGTGCCACTGAAAAATAAAAAAAGTTAACTGATTTTTAACTAATATTTCAGATTAATATGGGAAAAAATTCAGAGTTCTGAGATTAAAGCCAAAATTGAATGTCAGAATTCCGACTCTTTTCTCATATTAAACTGAAATACTATTTAAAAATCAGTTAACTTATTTTTTTTTCAGTGGCCCTAATCCTCTTCCGTAGTGTCCCCATCAAATCAGAACAGTAAATAAGGCTTTAAAATCCACACACCTTAAAAGTCACCAGAAACAGAACAAAGCGAAGTATTTGTTGTGCAAATTTGCACAGTGAGAGTTCAGCTACACAAACCGTGAGGTATTTGTTTGCAGCTGTAACTAATCTGTCTGCATCTGCATGTTTCAGGTTAGGCTCCAAGCTTCCTGCTGGTGTGTCTCAGCCTCCTCGCTTTGCGAAGCCACCCTGGGAGACCCAACCTCAATCCCAAATCATGCCGAATACCGTAGGAAGTGGACAGCGCAAGAACGAGCCCGTCGTGAGGCGACCTCTCGACCACATCCCCCACATCAGAAACCCTAAGCTGCGGCAATACTACCTGCAAGGTGCTCCTGTGGTTTGAGGGGTGCATGCTTTCATCCTGCAGCATAGCAATGCTTCCGGAAGGATCCACAGTTTGCATGCTATTTAAACCTGGATTGTGTATTAAATATTGTTTTGAATCCAGAGAAACTTTGAGCTTGTGATGTTTGCACCTGGCTCTTAATGAACTCTGAATCAAAAGTGAAACAAACAGGTTTTCTTTACTTCACAGGGACCGCATGGGAGCTAAGCAACACTGCAGTGACTGTTGAGGAACCACTAGATGGCAGCACATCCAGCACTGTGAGTCACGTTTATTACAACCAGTCTAAAGTTAAAGGAGCCTGCTATGGAAACTACGGAAGAGGATTAGGGCCACTGAAAAAAAAAAAGTTAACAGAATTTTTTTTATTTTATTTCAGTTTAACATGGGAAAAAAGTCAGAATTCTGAGATTAAAGTCAGAATTCTGACTTTTTTCTCAGAATTATGAGAAAAAAGTC